GGTCATAAATCAGGCACATACACTGCACTAAATTTAACTGCCAAGGAATCTAGTTTATTTCACTAAAAATCAACTCATGAAAATTAGGTATTAGGCAATCTTGAATTCTCTCTAATAGAGCCCTCCAAAGAAAAAATTACTATACAAAGATTTACTCCGACACTTTATCACACAGAAAATTATTTTCTTTCAGTAGTTCATTTTAAGACAATTCAAAATAATTTTTAGGAGTCAGCTTCAATATGAAATATATGCCACTTTTAGAAAATAGTATGTATCTGATCAATTTGAAGAATATATACCACCAAAATGTTTACAGTGCAAATTTCCTTAGAAAATGACTTCAGGGCCTCCATAATGGCGCAAGGGGTTAAGAAGCCAACTATGAAACTATCCACAGCTACTGCAGCACAAGTTCGATCCCTGGCCAGGGAGCTACCCACATGGCACAGTAGACCTCTCCTGACCTCTCCTTCTCCCCTCAGCAGTGCATTTCAGTAGATCTGCCTGTTCTGCTCCCCACTCTGTCTCTGGTGAATCCTCTCAACCCCCAACACCTCTGGCCTGTACCCCAGTTCTTGTATGTATAAATATATAAATCTTTAAAAAGAAAATGATTTCAGATTTCCCATTTTACCATTTAATCTGTATTTTTTATTTTTACAATGAATATGTAGTACATACATAATTTTTTGTCTGTCTTTTTTTTTTTTGGTTTTATTTTGCATGCTGTAAAATTTTTTTTCTTCCATTTAAAAAAAAAAAAAGCGCAAAAGCCTGAGAATTCAGCAAGGGAGAAAAAAGAATCACAAACGATTTTTAAGTTTTGATTTTCCCAAAGTCAAACAGTATTAAGTTAAAAATATGATTTTTATATTTGGGAAAAATTAATAACCCTTCACATACTACTGTCAAAAATTCTAAAGCTCTTTAGCTCTAAAAATGACTGGTTTTCAGAAGAGCTTAAAAGAAACTTCTCTGAAGAGGAAATGCAAATGGAACAGCATATGAAAAAATGTTCAAACATCACTTGTCATAGGGAAATGCAAATCAAAACTACCATGAGATAACATCTTACACCTGAAATGGCACATATTAAAAAAAGACTTAGAACAACAAATTTGCGAGGTGTGAGAAAAGGAATCTTCTGCACTGTTGTGTGGAGTGCAAACTGGTCCAACCACGTGGAAAGCTGTGTGAGAGATTTCTGGACCTACTAAACATAGAGCTTCATATGACCAGCAATCCACTCCTAATATTACCCAAAGGACACAGAAACATCAATTAAGAACATGCACCCCTATGTTATATAGCACACTGTTACAATAGCTAAGCTTTGGAAACAACCCAAATGCCCAAAATAGATGACTGGATCAAGAAGATGTGGTAATATATACCATGGGAATTTACTTCAGCATTCAAAAAAGATAAAACATGCAATTTGCAACATGGATGGCGCTGGAAGGATCATGCTCAGCGAAATAAGCAAAAAGAAAAGGAAAAATACCGGATGGTCTCACTCATAGCAGAATCTAGAAAAACTTAAATAATGGACCAGGAAAATGAAAAACTATAAGAAAGTGAAAAATCAAAATCAACAAAAAACATGAACCAGAGACACTTTTAGGGGCGGGAGGGAGGATTGATGGGTCAAGAATGGGGAGCAATTGTATGGGGAATATAACAATAAAATTTATTAAAAAAAAAAAAAAAAAAAAAAATAAAAATGACTGTTTTGAATGCTAGAGAGGATAGGTATTGGATCAAATGACAAAATGAATACAGACAGTAGATCTGATCAAAGTATTGCATCAATGTTAAATTTCTTAAGTTGATAACTACAAAGTTATATAAGACAGTGCCGTTGGTGCCTAGCATATATACACTGAAATTTTCAGAAGTTAACGGTATGATGTAGGCAACTTACTCTCAAAGCTTAGCAAAAATATTTATAATTGATGATAAAGTAAGGATTGACTGGGGAAATGTGAACAATTGGCAAATCTGAGTAAAGGGTAAGAGTTGTACAATTTTTGCTTAAACCTGAATTTCTAAATAAAAATTTTAACTGAAAAAACAGGAAAAAATATTCATAAATTTTCCTAAAAAACACTGAAGATCATATTAAACCACCTCCACGCAAGACTATTTTGAGGGGAAAAACAGCAATAAAATGTGCTAATAAAACCATCCATGCAGTCCCGACTTCACACAAGACATTAGCTCTGTGTGTAGTAGAAGTGTAATGTGAATCATAATGTAGTACTTTTTAGCAGCCACATTAAAAATTAAGACAGGTTAAATTAATATAAGATTTTTTGCTTATCCAATGTCTGAGATGTTTTCATTTCAATATATTTCAACATAAAGTTGATGATATATTTTACAATTTTTTCCCTAGAAATCTCCAAAACCTGGTGTGCATTTTACACATCTCAATTCAGATGCTAAATTTTCATAGGAAATACTTGATCTGTATGTACATTTCATAAACTGTACAGCTGAAGTGGTAGATTCACATAATCAAGTTGTTTCATAGTTAAGTTTCCAATCACTGAAGTATCAGTTTTTAATTAATTAAAATTAAATAAAATGGGAAATTTATTCCTCACTCAAACTAGCCACACTGCAAGCTCAGAAGTCACATGTGGTAATTCTATGAGACAGTTCGGCTTTAAGATGAAACAAATTCCCTCTAGGAAAGAAAGACCTGATTGATAAAGCTTATATTTATCAAAAGACCTTTAGTAGTTCCGACAAAATGATGATATTCCCATCCTATAAATACCCTGTAAAATCACAATATTCCTACCAAAAGCCTTAGTAGCTCAACAAGTCAAAACCAGTTGGAAATGCTAACGTAAAGCAGGCTTTAGCCTCAGTCTCGGTTGTCACACTTTTGAGTTTCCTGAAATTGGCTATCAAATGGCCCAGTTACTTTTAAAGTGGCGGAATAAACTGCAATCCTGGCTCTCAGAAGCCTCCATGTCCATTGTACAGCATGCAGAGTTTCCACATAATACTGTCTGAGAATCCCAAATGGGAGCATGCACCCAAAAGAACTTGTCTCATATATAAAAGAGGAAGTGGCTCTAAGAACAGAGGTGTTTTTTTCTTTTTAAACAGGTGTAAGAGATTAACTCAGTCAACACCAAGGAACACTAAAGATTCGCCAATCAATAATTCTGTGCCAAGCAACGTGATCAGGGATTTGGCTAGAATCCCTTTGGCTCATCTCAATGGGGACCTTCCCAAAGACATCCTGATTTAGGCCATTCTCTGAATTAAGGTTTAAGGTGTCATTTTCCTGACAAATAAAACCAAATTATATACACATGAATAAAATTCTGCCTAATTGGCAAAAGGAAAAACCATTTGAAAGATAATTTAGTTGAGCATGGCAAAAATATAGTTCCAAAAATCAGAAGTAACCAGAAAATGCTATTTTAGAGAATTAAAATTCTCTGGTCTAGCCATTCTGATCTAGCTTGCTTTCACCCCACATCCTATCTGGGATCAGAGAGACAAATCTAACCATTGTGTACAGACTACAATTACCATAATCTGAAAGCACGTATATGTAAACATTAACTATCTCTATTTAAGACTTCTCTTCTCTTCCCCTAAAGAATCCTACAGCTTTAAGCAGAATGAATACAAACATTTTAAGCCATTCCACCGGGCTTTCGTCCTAGATTTATTTTACCCGTGGAAGTATCTAAACATTCTGTAGAACACATTCTAACTTGGGGTTTTTCTTAGAAAGTGCTCAGTCAACGCCTATGTAATCAAATCCAGATTCACTTCTCCCTGAAATTAACTAAATACGCAGAAATCAATTGTCGTTTCAAAACAGTGAGGCGGGAAAAGAAAGAAACTACACCGGCAAATACATTCCTGCTCCTACAATTCAAGCACTATGTCCAGAATGCCAGTCAACAGAGAAGTGTCGGTACAGCGGCGGCTTCCAGGGCACACTGCACAACCCACAGGGACCCCAGCACGCCTGCCTGCTCCCCCAACCTGAACTCCAGCCAACCACCCAGGAATCCAGGCCACTTAACCGCCTCGCAGCACAAAGATGTTTACGGGGTGATCAGGTGCAGCACAACTACTTAATCCTGACACCAAAAAAGTACGATCAAACAAGAGTTTTCACTACGCATTCACGCGTACCTTCCCTCGCAGAAATCCCCTACAAAAGGCAGCAAACACAAGCGTGGGACGGGGGCTGGGGTAGTTCCCCCTTGTTTACTAGACTTGGGCAAACAGCTCCATGTAGCAATTCCTCCGCAGGGCTTGGTGCCAGGGCTGTGGATCCACTGGAGAGGGAGGACAGAGGAAGGAGGCTGCAGGCACACCCGCTGCTGGTGCAGGAGCTGCCTCGCCGCGCAGCCCGAGCGTCGCTCGCCCCAGAAGCGCAGCTCTCCGCCAAGGGCCGAGCCGGGAAGCCTGCGCGCCCACAGCCAGAACCTCCTCGCCAACAAAGGCTGCGTCTACCGCTCCAGGTGGGGAGCGCACCCCGTGTGCGGGGAGCGCGCTGCCCCCCTCAGCCCCGGGGTTGGGGTCTGCGTGGGGCCGCCCCAGGGTCCGGAGCCGCGGAGAGCCCGCGGGGCCGCAGGGCGCAGTGGCAGAGTCTCGCTTTGTCCCGGGGGAGGGCGGGGTGGGCGTCGGAGGCGCGCGGGGTCCCCAGGGGGATGTGGCGGCGCCGCGGGTGGGATGGGGGCTGGGGCGCCCCCCGATGCCTTTCATTTGGCCTCTGCGGCGGCGGAGGCAGCCCGACCTCCAGCGCTAAGCACTGCGCCAAGCAGGGCGCGCGGGAGGGCGGGCGCGCGGGCGGGGGAGGGCGCGCCGGACCCGCCGCAGCGCCGGACCCCCAGCCCCTCCACCCCCGCGCCGCGCCCCCAGTCCGGTCCGCCCGGGCCCCGCCGGCCGGCCCGCAGGCCGCGCTCCCACGGCCGGCGACACAGCCCCCGCTCCGGCGCGCTCCCGGTCCCCACCTCGATGTAGCCGGCCAGCGCCGCGGCGGGCGCGGTGAGCCCGAGCAGCAGCAGGATGAGGAGCTTGCCCGTGGCCGCGGCGGCCGCAGTCCCAGTGGCCGCCATGTCTCGCCGGGTCGCGCTGGCGCTCGGCTCTCACGCTCACCCGCACGGTCCGGAGCGTCCACCACCGCGACCCAGAAGCGTCTGAAGCCCGTTCGCCGCCGCCCCGGGGGGTTTTACACCAACCGGAACTGACTTCACAGAACCACGCCCTCCTTCTCCGGCCTCCAATGCCGGCCCGCGGAGCCGCCCCGAGACACCGCCCCCTGTTCCACCAAGAGCCAATCAGGATGCAGAAGAGCCGGCTCCTCGCGCCCGCCCAGTCCCGCGCCCCCTCCAGGCCCCGCCTCCGGCGCTGGCGGCCCCGCCCCCTGTGGGGACCCTGCGGCCGTGAGGCGCGGGGTGTGCGCGGCGGGGCGCCCGAGCCGCGGTTCCGCCCGGTGGCTGGAGCTCGCGGCGGCCCCCGGCTCCCGGCGCCGCTCGGTGTGCGCGCTGCGCTAGTCTGTCCGCCTGCAGCCTCCAGATACAGCCACGCCCCGCTCCCTCCACCCTGCGGCTATTTTTCAGATTCCTTTGGGTGCCGCCCTCTTTTTTGGTTCTGAAAATGGTTTTATTAAAAACAAGATGAATGGTTCCGAGCCCGGGCAGGTTTGCAGAAGGTTTCCCCGAGGCTGGGAAAGTTCTAAGCGAGACAGTCTTCCCTCTCTCCCGACCCCTGTGCACGGCGCGCCCCTTGCCAGGGAGCGCGGCTACTAGCCCTGTCCTCGCCTGTGCCGCGCGGGGTTTGCACACTTGACCCCGACTTTCCAGGCCTCGACCTTCCCCTTCTCTCCTGTGGCCACTCTAACCAGAGAGCGTTGCTTCCCGCTGGAGACCTATAAAGACCACGTTACCTTAAAGCCCAGGTTTCCTTCCTCGTGTGTTTTAGGAAAAGATCATTTTTCTTTCTTCTTCAGTTTCTGATCACTAGCAGGAGACCTGCCTCGCTCTGCCTTCTTGCTCCACCACGGCGTTTGCACTTGCACTGAGGAAATGTTCTCCTGCCCCATTTCACAACTGATCCGGCCTCCCCGGGCAGGGGCTAAACTGGCTTTGTTTCCTTTCAAAAGCTGGCTGATTTATGTACCACCCTTTGCAGAGCACTGGCTAGACCCTTTAGGTTTAACCAAATAAAGAGAGGACAGGAACTCTACCGTGCAAAAAGGAGGAGATGGTGTACATAGAAAATGAAATTTTACTCAGTGGCATGTCCATTTCCCGTCTTTAAACTGACCCAGCCCCATTCCCCAAAGACAACTTGGGCATTCCCATTACAGAGCTCTTCCTATGTCTGCAACGTCCTTTCTCCAAAATCTACCTGTTGGAAACATTTTCTTTCTTCCTCTGCTCAACCAGATGTAAGGTCATCGTGTCTGTAACCCTAGGGTGCTGTTTCCTGTCATGTCACTTGCCCCTTCAGTCATCTCCATACCTCTCTCACGCTGCTGCCCAGCCTGGTATTTCATACTGCAGAGCCCCTCCCAGTGGAGACCCCACACATGGTCCTGCAGTGTTACCTAACCCAGTTATGTTGGGTTCTGGCGTAGTTCTGGAACTGTTGCTGCTGATTGCATTGTGTCCTCCCCAAAGTTCCCGTATGTTGATCCCCATAGTGTGATGGCGTTTGGAGAAGGGGCCTTAGGGAGGTAATTAGGCCTAGATGAGGTCACAAGGCAGGAAGAGACCAAAGAGCTTGCACTCCACCCAGCACCCCACCCAGCACTGTGTGGACACTGTGAGGAGGCCAGGAAGACAGCCCTCTTCCCCTTGACCAAATCAGCCAGTCCTATGATCTTGGACTTCCCAGCCTCCAAAATTGTGGGAAATAAATTCTGTCGCTCCAGCCACCGAGTCTGTGGTAGTTTGTTATGGCAGCCAGAGCTCGCTAAGGCAGCTGGGTGAGTCCCTTTGTCATGTGGACTCTTTCCTTCTGTGTCAAGTGTGAATATTAAAAACCTGTCTCACTTCACCAATTTGTGTGAACCAATAAAAAGTGAATACACAGTAGCGAGAAGCACACGCTGACTCAGATAGAAGGGGTAAAAGAAGGATGCAGGGACATGTCACAGGTACCTGTTCCTCCTAGGAAAGTGTGTATGGAAACTAGCAGTGAGCACAAGTCCCAGTTCTGTTGGGGAGCTTTGTGTGAGTCATGTAGTCCCTCTGCCACAAAATCAGGGCCTTGAACTCAGGTAGTTCTAATTTTCAGTGAATCTAAATGCTGAGAGAAAAGCAAATGAGATTATCTGACTTCAGAGCAGCAGCCCAAGCAGCCAGGGTGAGGTAGTTAGCTTGCTAATTGCTCCCAAGTCAGGGTGTTTTCTAAAGCAAATAAGTTGTATAAAAAGGCAAATTCCTAAACTCTACCTCAGAAATTCTGATTTACTTAAGTAAAGGTAACATAAGAGAGTCAGGTTTCTTTTTTAGGACTTTCCAGAGGGTTCTAATCCTCTAGCACTTTGGAGAGCTTGATTCTTAAATATCATGGACCAGTTTAAAAAGAAAAAACGTATAAAAATTGGAATAGTTCATGAAAAATGACCCATTTTTTCCAAATTAAACATTAAAGGAAGACACAACTGTGTAGTATCACCATCATTTCATTTTTAAAAAGAACATTTAACAAAAACAAAAAGTAAGACTGTTTGTAATTGTAAAATTTTTTAAAATTAGGTACAATGTAAGTTTCTGACAACCCCGTTGCCTTTGTTTTTCTCATTACAGGTCAGAATGATGAACACTTTATAATGGAATAGGCCTGATCTAACACAGATCTTGAAATATTGCAGTATAGGAATAAATGTCTGAGCTTTGGGTTATTTTACCAGTAGCCTTTAAATATGCCAGCCCCAGAGTGTATTCTTCCACTACCACCCTAGCCCCTTTCATGGCTGACTCAATATTTAACACCTGGTTCAAGCAGCACCTACTCAAGGTTTTCCGCTCTTGGGCCTCCCTGGTGGCGCAAGGGGTTAAGATGTAATCTTTGAAGGTGTCCGCAGCCTCTGCAGCAAGAGTTTGATACCCCAGGGGCCAGCTACCCATTTGGCGCAACAGACCTCTCCTGACTCACCTGCTGCTCCCCTCAGCAGTGTACTTCAGTCAATCAGCCTGTTCTGTTCCCCACTCTATCTCTGGTGAGTCCTCTCACCACCACCCCCACCTCTGGCCTATACCCCAGTTCTTATATGTATAAATAAATAAATCTTTTTTTAAAAAGTTTTCTGCTCTTCCCCTTCTCTGTGGCTGAGTTAGTACACATCCTTTGTGCCCCATATATGTTCTGTACACACCTCTCAGTCTATTTGTAAATTAAATACTAATCATTTAGTTTCTTTACTGTCTTCTTAATTACACCAGAGTCCCTTAAGGAGAGGGGAACATGTTTTGTTCATCTCTGTACCTCCAAAATCTAGCATAGTGGTTGTACTTAACAGGCATTCAAAAAACATTTGTTGAGTGAAACCATAACTAAGAGCTTGACAATCTAGCAGAGAGGATGAAACTTGTACATGTGTAAGTATAGCACTAGATAGAAAGTCATAAATAGCCTAAGAGGAGAATTACCTAATTATTTTAGGGAATTAAGAGGAGGAAGTTAGTTACATCTGGTGAGGACATCCGGTAAGGATCAGAGAGATTACATCTGAGATTTCCCGGGAATATACACAGGATGTGCATGTATGGTGTTCAGGAAGATGAGACGTATGGGGGAATACTGTGAGCAAAGGAATAGTGCTGAAAAACCACGAGGCATGTAAAAGAAAAGGGAAGTAGTCAATTGAAGCAGAGGGTTTGTAATTAAAAAGTAAAGGTGTACTGTTTGCTGGGTTTATCTAAAAATATTGAGGTGCTATCGAAATCTTTGGACAAAGAGAATTAGATTGGCTTTTAGGCAAATGAGTGTGATTACCATCTGATGAATGAACTATAACCTAGGAGTCTAGTTGGTCTAGTGTGATATTGGGGGAAAAGTGAAGATGAGCAAAACTGAGATGCAGTGGAATTGGAAAGGAAACAGTGCAAAAGGTACTACCCCAAGAGTAGTGAAGGAGGAGAAGAAGCACGAAAAGAACCTTGTGCCCGAACATGGCACCTGAGAGAATGTGAAATGTTTGATGTCATTGCCAGAAATGCAGAAAAAATGAGAAGACTATGGAGATGGAAGGAGAGTGGGAGATAATGAAATGTCATCAAAATCTCCAGCATGACATGCATAGCAATTACATGGGGGAAAGCTCATAGATTGGAATTAGAATTAGTTTAGGGGTTAGCAACCCAAAAGTTATTTATTAAATCCATAAGCTAGCCAGAGGGGACAGCAATGAAAGAAGTAGAAACTCAGTATATACAATTTTTCTATTTAACCAGTATATCTGTTTTCATAACTTAAGTCAAAAGCTAGAGAAGACCAAATAGGATCAGGTTTAAGGAAGAAAAACTGAACTTGGAGACTTGGGTTTGGTTGTTGGTCATTTCGTAGTAAGGATAAAAGTACTTGCAGGAAATAAAGGCCTTGTGAGGGACAGTTAACATTCTTTTTTTTTTTTTTTTTTAAAGATTTATTTATTTATGGGCCTCCCCTGGTGGCGCAGCGGTTAAGTGCTGGGCTGCGAAGCTGCTCACAGTCTCTGCAGTGCCAATTTGATCCCCGGTCCCCAGGCGAAGGTCCCACATGGCGCACAGACCTCTCCTGCCACCCCCTGCTCCCCTCAGCAGTGTACTTCGTCACTCTGCCTGCTCTGCTCCCTGCTCTGGCTCTGGTGAATTCTCTCACCCTCCCGCACTTCTGACTGTACCCAGTGCTTGTACAAATAAATAAATAAATCTTAAAAAAATTATTTATTTATGCATACAAAAACTGGGGTGTAGGCCAGAGGTGGAGGGGGGAGAGGATTCACCAGAGAGAGAGAGAGTGAGGAGCAGAAAAGGCAGATCTACTGAAATACACTGCTGAGGGCAGCAGTGGGCTACATAGGAGCGGTCTGCTGCACCATGTGAGTAGCTCCCTGGCCAGCGGGGGATAGATCTGGATCATGCTGCAGAGGCTGTGGATAGCTTCAGAGTGCAGTGCTTA